ATCAAAATCCAACTATTACTTCTTTTACTTCTATTCTAAACCTGGCATTTGTCCAGGTAGTGGGGTACCCAACAAAGGCGTGTCCCGACAGAGGCTGAACCTTGCAACTGAAATTGCACATTAAGTTACAGAAGCTGAGTCAGGATTCCTGAGGGGACCCTCTGTGGAAGAGCAGGATGAGCTCTTTGGAACCATGAGTGTGTCTCCTTCCCAGGGAAGGGGAGGAAAATGCAGCGCCCCCCCTCCAAAAAAAGAGCTGGATTCCCAGAGAAGGAAGGAAGCCAGGGCTCAGTGTTTTCTAGGTTAAGTAAGACCTGCTCCAGCTTAGGTCTGGAAACCATCTAAAGAGGAGAAAGAGAAGGCAAGGCAGGAAGAGTCTCCTATTTAAAACGCATGCTTCATGTTCCAGCCTCAGCACGAGTCCCTTTAGCTGAAACAACATGGGACTTATCTCTCCTGAACAATTATTCTGACATCTCTAGAGAAATGTTCTTTGGTGCTTTACTCCTAATATTAAAAATCTATGGGAAGAAAAAAAAAGAATAAATATCATCATTAAGTCTTTGATTCTTAATGAGGACAGTGCCGGCCTCCTAAGAGGTATTTGGAAAAAGTATGTTACGATTGGCATTTGGGGTTACTGTTGGCATTCACTGGTGGGGGCTGAGAGGTAGCCCACATGATGAAAAATTTTCCCCACACATCAAGGACTTGAGATTTCCTATCAGACACTTACGTGGGTGCAAAACATCTGAGCTAAGAATTCATCTACACTACATATAAACACAATTTAATATGTAATCACTTTTTTAAAAAAGGAATAACCACATAAATCTGGAGACTTTGGAGCTTTGTTTGGTTTGAATCTTTACCATGAGTTGTTGAACATCTCAGAAAAAGTCATGAAATTGATGACAACCTCACCCATAGCATTTATTTATTTTTATTTATTTATTTATTTTGGTACCAGGGATAGAACTTGGGACCTTGTACTTGCGAGGCATGCAGCAGAAGCACTGAGCCAAAGCCCCAGCCCTCACCCATCGCATTTAAATCATGAACAGAACACATTTAAATCTGTCTGTGATAGGAGCTTGGCGTTCCTTGAGTCTACATATAAGGGCAAGCATCTGTTCGCTTCATCGTTTCATCTACTAGGTGTGCCCAAGGCATTTCTATACCAAAGTGAATATTATTTTATTATAAAGATGCTTCCTTTATATCTTCACATTACCATTTTAATCACATTTTAGACAAATTATATCACTTGTGAATTTAATTTCAGCAGTGAATAGGGGTTGTTCTCCAATATTTTTATAAGAAGGGAGCTGTATTAGGCAGCTCCATGGTACTACAGTAAAATAATTCCTTCTACAAAGAGAAAAGTTTTATTTAGCCCATGGTTGGGGGTTCCAAAGTCCAGGGTCTGGCAGACCCACTGATTTGACCTCTGGTGGAAAGGAAGGAGAATAGATGGAAAGAAAGAAGAAAGGAAAAAAGAAATCTGCTTCAGAAAAATGTACACAGATGATATCGATTATATAAAAATACACACATTCAAGACAAAGGTGACTGAACCATAGCAATCTCAGGGCTTATGGGCAACCCAAAGTGCCCCCTCTCAGAAGTTCAAGGGCCTTTTGTCAATGTTTAGTACAGCAAAACACTTAGAACTCATCATTTGGTAAAGCAGCTACAACAATAATCTGGCTCACTTTTATAGTCCAGTTTGAGAAGGATGTTTTCTACACAAAAGATCAAACTGTACCCAGCCTCACAGTTACTCCCTAGGTCCTCACAGCCTGAGGGACAAATGACACATCGCTACGGCACCAGGCTCTGTGCACCCTGCCAGCTGGTCAGTTGGTCTCCAGACCCAGCCCTCTACGGGTCTCCACGCCCCCACACAGCTGTTCAGGGCTCTGCTCCCACAGCTATATATTCCCTGTTGCTGCTGTCCATCTGAGCTGCTGCTTTGCCTGTGCCCATAACCTCATCTCCCTACCAACATCCTGCCTCTCCCCAGCGTGGCAGAATGAACAGTCCCACCTCCAAGGAATGTGCTCTTTCCACCCACTTTGGATAGCAGATCCTTTAAATGATTGCAGAGACCTGTTTTCCATAGGAAGCACCCTTCACACGGGCATCTCATCAGGAAGGGAACATACTGAAAAAGCTTTATTGAAGACCAGTGATCTTAGGAGTATTCACACACCTTCACTCTTTCCATACCTAGACTCAAAATTTCTGCCTTTCAGGAATCCAGGGAGGCAACATTCTGTATCACTCCTGTATTTTTGAATAGTGTAAACCCCAGGATCCCAAGAACCTGCTCATCACTACCAAAATAGTCACATAAAGAAGACTCCTGGTGTCCACATGGATCGGCAAGTGTTACGTGTGGTGGGTGCCTAAGAGCCTGAATTCTGGTTTCAGACCACCTGGGTTTGAAAGTGACCTTTGTCATTACCAGATGCAGAACCTTGAGTTGGTTACTTGGCCTCCCTGGAATTCAGTTTCCTTATCTATAAAATAAGTGAATCACATAAATTCTCATAAGATTAAACTGCAGAGTATGTGGAGTTCTGACTGACACAGAAACTGTAGGACTTCCAGTGCTCGGACCCAGGCCACTGGGAGAGGTGTACAGCCAAGCCTGCTTCTAACTTCCCTGCACAGTAGTGTGCATTTGAAAACTTGTTCTCTGACCTCTGTGCCTTTGCAGAAACTTTCCTTAAGAATGTGAGAATTGCTCTGAAGTGTTGCTGGGTCAGTCGTGACTTTGTTTCAAGGAGTCACGTAGACAGCACGGAAGGGCCCTTAAGAGAATGGAAAATCTTTCCTCTGATCTCAAGTAAGATCTTATGCCTGCTCAAAGCCAAGAGAGATCAAACATTCTCTAAGTTCACATGGCAAGAAAAGGACATGATCAAAGCTAAAGCAAACTCAGGATTGACCAAAAAAAATCTAGGACATTTGGCCCCTTGCGTTGTACAGTAATATTGGCATTAGACTCCCATCTCCTCAAAAGCCAGAGGAGCTTCTCACAATAGTTACACCTCTTCACTGCTCTTGCTACAGACCAGTTACATTCAGCTGCTTCGCAAAGTCTTAGTGATAAGGTCATGAACATTATGATAATGACAAGGTAAATGCGTATCTTTAAGCTCTGGGAGTGGCAAAAAGGCAGTGAGGATTGTATTCCAGGCTGGACGAGTGATCAACCAAAAGGAGACAAGTCCTCAGAAGAGAGCAAAAGGCGAATAAAGAGCTGGACAAATGTCAGAGCCCCTTCCGGACAGATAATAAACTTTTAGCAGAAGGCCCGCCCCACCAGGAGGGCTGTGGGAGAGGCGAGCCCTGAGGGAGACAATGGGAAAAGGCAAGGGAGAGACGGACGTTGACCTTTCCGGTCAGTGCAGTGAGGCTGAGGGAGGGTATGAAGCAAGCTCACGTCACAGAGCAGAAGCTCAGAGGCACGGGCACAGATCAGAAGAGCACACAGCAGGAAGCGAACACATTAAACAGAGGAAAAGGCGGAAAACTGCAGAGCTTAGTTGAAATTTCACCTGTTTCATGTCCCTTCCAGATGGCAAGTAGCAGAACAGAAAACACTGACTTAGATGCCCATACCTGTTCTTTGCACCTCATAGCCGCCATCTATGTCTCCCTTAACTACGTTGGCTGTTCTTACCCTTATTCCTCTCCCCGGGCATTTGACGAGTCTGAGCCTACTCCATTGCCTTCTCCCCACTACCTTCTTCAAGGCCTGCCTAGCTCCATGCCTCTCCTTCTCCACTGCCAACCCCATTTCTCAAGGTCCTCCCAGCACAGACACTCCAGTTGGCCAAACAAAAGTCTAATTCAGCATCATGGTTTCTAAAGCATTTCCCCAGGGACAGAAGTTTATCCAAGAACCCTACTTTCACACTGAGATACATTTAACAACAAAAAATCAGGGTGAAAATTCTACCAATATGATTGAAGTGTCAGCAGGCTGGGTCTGAGAGGCCCTTAGGGCTGAAATAAGGAATTCATGCTATCTTTTTAAAAAGATGTTTGCAGGTTCACTGACTCCTGTACAGAAAAAGGAATTTTTAGGACCCAATAGTATACAAGGCCAGAGAAGAGTTTATCAGGATGAACTCAAGAATGGAGAAATGAGACGCATTAAGAGCAGGAGTTGGGTGCATTTAAGGGAGTGTCTTCAAGATGAATCATCTAGTTTGTGTATTTTTACTGTCTCTCAGGTTGCAAGACAAGCTATCTACACACGTATGAGGTTGAGATCTGCTGCCTGCTGCCAGTATTACTGCTTCCTAAAGATGGAGGACCCAGGCGCACGATTTACAGGTGAAAAGCACAGGTTAAGAGCCCAGATTCACAGCCTTGTTGTAAAGAAAAAGAAAAATCTTTAGGAATTTTGTTTTGTTGAATGGATTTCCTAAAAGGGAAAAAAGGCTTGTGTAACTTTTATGTCTGGAAGCTGCAGTTTTTCTTAAAAGTGCAATTGTAAAATCAATTTCCTTGTCTCCTTTCTACCCCATTTTTATTTCTCCTATCATACCTCAAAAGGAGTCCATCAAAGTCCCTCACCATTGCATGTAACTCCATGACTCCACCCATCTTCTCCGAGGACAGCTCAAGTTTGAGCCCTTATTCTTTCCTCACTGGGCCACTATCTCTCTGAGCCCAGTTTCCACTTCCTGCCGCCTTTCTTCAATTTGGTTACCAGAGCTCAGAACACTCATCTGTGTGTTCTCTGGCTCTGGGTTACGAGAAATGAATGTTCAGACTCCACAAGCCAGTCCCCAGGCCCAGCCTCCTCCGGCCTTCTGGAGCTCCCCTTCCCTTCTCCCTGGCACCTCAGCCCAGCCTTACAATGTGCTGTGCAGCCGTCCCTGGGCACAGTGCCATTTCCCACTGTGTGATTATGAAGCTGTTGCCTGCCTGGGCCTGAAACAACCTCTGCTGACTCTCACCAGCCCACACATCCCACTCCCACTAACACCCTGCTTCATGCCGTCTCCTCTTTCATTTTAGCCAAGACAGCAGCTTCCTAAACTGTCCCTGCTTCTGCACCGGTCCCTACCTGGGCTCCAAACTGTCCTATCTTTGCACAACAGCTTGAGTGATCCCATCTTGGAAGAATCAGAACAAGCACCTCCTTTGACTAGACTCCCTATAATGGTCCTCATCTTGCTCCAAGCCAATTTTTAGAACACCTGGAAAGCCCTGTGTGTGCTCTCTTCACCCAATACCCACCATCTTCCCTGGCCTCCCCACTCTTGCACAGATGCCATCTGCACGCGTGCCCTGGGCACCGGGGTGGTTTCCTCCTCCTGAGTTGCTTTTCCTTTCCATAATCTCCATAGCTCATTCCTTTTCCCCTTCAATTCTCTTCAATTCAAAACTCACTATGCCTCATATCATTCCAAGGTCCCTTACCCTGCTCTAATATTTCTTCCAGTATGGTATTTATCAACATCTGAAAAACAGGTTTTGTTATTTATTTAGGTACTGTCTGGCTTCTCCCACAAGAATGTCAGCTTGGTGAGGCCAGGTTTGTGAAGCTGCTCCTTTGTCCTCTACTGCTGGATCACCAGTGATTAGAATGGTTTTCAGCTCACGGGGCTCGGTAAAGTTTTAATTGCATGAATAAATAAAAACTACCCCATTGTATGGTGCAGCCACCTGCCTCGCAAGTGCAAGGTGCTGAATTCGATCCCCAGTACCAAACAACAACAACAACTACCCAGTTGTATTCACACTGTCAGGCCCAATACAAAGGTCACCTTTTGCCACCTTTATCCTGCAGACGTTAAGCTTCCTGTATTCCTAGGGCTCTCTGCTTCTACCTCTGCCAAAGGTGTCTTCTTTTTAGATACATCTCCCTGCCACCAAGGGTATGGGAGCATAGAAGATAATGAATCCTCTGAAGATGCTTAGTCTCAGAGAGGTTGAGAAATGACAAGCATTTTACACGTGGGAGACAGAGCCAGGATTCTGCTGAACCTGAATCCAAGGCTACTTAGCACTCTCTCCATTACCCCCACTTGCTCTCAAAACAAACAAAAATTAAGTAAATAAAACACACAATATAATGCATTTCAGGCTTAATTTCAATCTAATATATAGGAATTCCCAAGAATCGTGTTAAACTAAAGCAAAGAGGGAGATGGAACAGAAAGAAAGGGAGAGAGAGAATGGAAGGAGGAGGAAAGGAGAACAAGAAAAGAAGAATGAAGAAAGGATAACTTCATCCACTTTTTCCTAACTGATGTCCTGTCCAGAGGATGCAACAGCTTTAGCCTAAAAAGGCCAGCTTGAGCATAATTATGCAGCTCTCCCTAGCCCACTCCCTAATAAACACAGGAACGTAACTTTTCATTTTAGCCAGCACCTGCTAGAAGACTTGGTTTCTGCTTTTTATGTGTCTAAAGCAGAAAGCCCAATAATAAGACACTGTGACAAGGTCAGAAGGTTATCATTACTGGAATGATGAAGTCAAGAAAGCTACTTTCACCCAGTGTGGTGGCACATGCCTGTAATCACAGCACTGTGGGAAGCTGAGGCAGTAAGACTGCAAGTTTAAACCCAGCCTGGATAACATAGAGAGACCCTGTCTCAAAAAAGGGATGGGGAGATAGCTCATTATGAGGAACTTGAGTTCCATCCTCAGTATCACAGAAAGAAAAAGAAAGCTACCTTCTATCTAAAAATCTAGCCATCCTTATAATAATGGAAATGTATAAAAATCGCTATTATTTTCACATCGTGTTGACAAAGATTCCCATGATATGCAAAGATGTTATGAACAGAAATTATCCATGGATAGCATACCTGGAATTTGAAGATGCATTTACCAATTTATCTCACTAGGTGGCTCTCACATTTTGACCTGTAACCTAGATTCCTAAACACACAGATTTGGATTTTTGTACATTCATTTCTTATCAAAGGTGGGTTATCTGCATGTACAAATAAAAAAGTGCATGTATTTATGTGCTTAGTTTATAATAGTAACTTTCTAACTAGGTTCTGTGACAAGAAATTATAAATTTCCTGTTAGGATCCCTTGATAAATAAGTATTTCAAAACAAAATTTAAGAAAAATTCAATTCACATCCAGTAAGAAGATCCCATACCTGTAATTTTTTTGGGGGGGGTGAGACAGGGTGTCACTATGTAGTTGAGACTGACCTGGAACTCACTATGTAGCCCAGGTTGGTCTCGAACTCACAGCAATCCTCCTGCCTCAGCCTCCCGAGTGCTGGGATTACAGGCGTGTGCCACCAGGCCTGGCCCATACCTGTAATTTTTAAAGATAAATTAGTTTGTACCAATTTTCTTCCCAGCTCTCTGTCAAAATGAATTCCTAGAAAGTCTAGCTCAGACTAGCAATGAAATTGTACATTTTTAAAATAAACTAAGCTGGCTTAATCTGGAAGACAAAGCTGATGATTTATTTCTGCCACCTCTTTCATGCTAGCTAAAGTCCACTTCAAGCTATAGTGGATTTGTCATTTTCTCCTCCCTTCCTGAGATCCAACTGGCCAACTTTTGACAAGGAACCCAAACTATGGCTATATTCTATAGCGGTTCCAGTGCTTGAAATTGTCTTGACTTGATCTTATTAAATTTCTGACATTCCCTGTTCACTAAGACACACTCGTTCTCTTCCTCTCCCTCCCACCCTCCCACCTGCTCGAGCATCAGCGTGAGCATTAATTCCTCAGGTCAGCAACTCTTGTCTTCTCAGGCAAACAGGCAAACAAGTCCCAGCAGCAACACCGTGCTGTCCTGAGACATGCAGATGTCATCACGAGGAGCTGGAAGTCACAGCCCCTTCACATTCTCACTTCCCTGGCCCAGAAAACAACTGAAATATTGGGATGATTGTGAATCGGCTTTATTTTCCTTTGAGGTGAGATCTGTGGAGAAAGAAGGAAGAAGGTATCGAAGCAAAGGCTTGTTTCTAAATACACTTGAGTGCAATACACAACCCAAGAAAACCCTCACCAACCCCCTTTCTCCCTCCCATCAGCCCCAGAATCAGCTCTACCTTCCTCTCTGTGGCTGTGTCTCTCCATTATTCATTGTGAGTGTCCTCTGCTGAACAGGCTATTCTGAGATGCAGCGAAACATCACAGTTTCTCCACTCTCTGACCCCAGCACAAACCGAATGCTTTGGAGAAACTTAATGTTACAGAGATAGATGCAGGATTTAAAAAGCAAATTCAGGAAAAAATGCAATAAATCCCCAAAACACTAGTGTGGTGTTTCCTTTCTAAATGCTTCACAATGTAAATGGATCAGGAGTGATTTCTCTTAGCTCTTCTGTCAGTTTTCTTTGGCCACTTTTTGAGATTCAAGCTCCATCTAAACAAACTGTTTAATCCAGGGGCTCGTGCTAATCAGCATCCTTCTTCCTCCAGCAAACTTCGCTGTTGATTTCCTCAAACTTATCTTGCAAGTAAACCTGTACAGGTGGACACAAAAGTGAAAATGCTATATCCTATTGTTATATAGTAGTCCCACGGGGTTTTGCCCACACACTTTAGTAGATGTATACTTGTCTCTATGCTGTGAACTAGGTGTCTTTGACTGACATCATTACCTCCTGTCTTAGTTTGTTCTTTAGTTTCTATAACAAAATACTTGAGACTGGGTAATTTACAAAGAAATGAAATCTATTTAGCTCACAATTCTGGAGGGTGGGAGTCTAAAACAATGGCACCAGCTTCTGCTTTGCATCTTGTGAGGGCCTCCTTGCTTCATCATAACATGGCTGAGGGTGTCACAGGTTGAGCTACATATCAAATTAAGTATAAAGCATTTAACCATTGTTCAGGAGGCTTTTAAAGATAAGGTGTTCTTCATGTGACAGATGAAATGAAGTATACATTTTGAGTGAACACAAGTTGTGAATAAATCTCACACACATGATGGTAAAGAAAGAGCTCAGACACCAAATAAAACATTTCAGACGACTCCATTTCATAACCAAACAAATCTAATGCACAGTATTTTGGATGGGGATGCTCATTACCTGGTGTGGCAAAGGAGGCTCAAAACAACAGTGAGGTATTCCCCAACATCTTTTCCTCTTGAAGCCCTGAATAGGGGATAGGTAGGATCATAGGCCCAGGAGTCACACAGAGCTGGGTTCTAATTCTGGGTCTGCAACTGACTAACTTTACACAAATAACTTATACAACTTGTGTCTCAGATTTTTGCATCTATAAAATGGATTAATAATACCTTCCTCAAAAGGTTGGTGTGAGAAGTAAGTGAAATAATGTACATAAAGTGCCCCACAGCATGCGTAGGTGCAGTAATAAATGGTAACTATTATTATCCCCACCCCTGTACCTGATAGTAAATCAGGATCAGAGGAGAGATAGGTAGAGCACAGATGAGTAGGCAAAGGAAAGACCAAGCCAGATTTGTGATCAAAGATGTGCGGAATCCACCAGAACACTGCACAGAGGAGAGCTGGTTCTTTCCCTCCCACTGCCCACACAGTCTCCCAAATATTGCTGCCTGACAGTGTGGCCCAGCCCTGAGTAACCAACAAAGTTGTTTGCATTCCATCCACAGAAGCTTTTGCTGGGAGACCTGATACTAATCTGATAAATTAATTTGCTCTTATGGTCACGTAGTGGTTAGCAGCAGCTTACTGAGTTACCCTCCAGGTGATGTAAGTTGTGTCTAAACCAGAGCCTTATGGATATAAAAGACTTTGGTGTAATTTTGCCTTATCCCCAGTCAGGAAGGAGCCAGCTTGGGATGTAAGTGGAGGATAATACAAACATGGTGCTGCTGAGATCAAGAGGAAACTCAGGTCCCAGGCTGTAGAGACTCAGTTTTCCTCCCTGAAGATGCCAGTCCTTGGAGGTACAGTCATCTATGAGGCCTATGGCTCCTATAAGATCAACTCAGACAAAGAATTTTCAGTTTTGACTTTGAATTGCTTATGATGTCCTAGGGCATCCATACAGGGAATACTGTTCTGCAATGAAAAGAAGAAAACAGCAGACATGTGGATCTTGGGAGCATCATGCTGTAGGGGAAAAGCCAGATCCCAGAGTTGATATGAAATTCTGGAAAATTGTATCTATACTGGCAGACACCCAGGGCCAGAAGTGGCTCTGATTCAAAGAGATGCTAGGGAAGATTTCTAAGGGATGGAAGCATTCTCTGTCCTGATTGAGGTACAACAGGTCAGTAACAATGGCAGATGTCCCCTGAACTGTCTACTTAGGAAGGTACAATTTTATTTTGTGTACAGTATAAAATAAAGTTTATTTAAAGGGAGAAAATGATATCTTAGTCATAGAAGTTGTTCTACCCTGGGAGACAAGTCCTAGCCTCCCCCAACTCTTCTAGCAGGTTAATGCTCGCTCACTGCTTGACAGTTAAAGGAGCACTTTCCCTCTTCTGATCATCACACCCACTTTATGAGGTGGGCATGATTAATGCCACATTACAGGTAAGGAAACAGTGGCACCAGACATCGAAGGGACCTGCCTTTGTCTTCTAACTCAGAACCCCATTTGCTTGCCCTCACCATAGGAAATGGCCTCAGAGACCATGCAGGACTAGGAAAACTGGAGCCCACAGAATATAAATAACTCGACACAGCTGTGCCTTTCCTTCAAGACAGAGACCAAAACTGGAGGCAGGCCTCCTCTCACAATGAATGTAAGGGAGAAATGTTAAGTTGAGGTGATCCTGAATGGAGGGAAAAGGACCTTCACTTCCCACAAATGAGACTTTCAGACCCACATAGAGGATCAAACAAAAACAAAGGCAGGATTTCTTTCCAGAGCTGCAGTCTCCACGTCTGATAGCATGATGCACCCCCACCCCCCAAAAAACCCTGGGGTCCCAATGGTCTTCTAACTTTAACAAACTATAGCAAGAAGCACGCGCATTACCTCACCACAGTCTGGCTTGTTTCCTGGCAGAGATTGTCCAACCCTTGCTCCAACCCCCCTTTCTGCTGGCTTCACACCCTTCACCCATTCCTCCCCACTGAAATCACACAGCTCTAACCCCAGAGAGCCAGCATGAGCTTTCTCCTTCTCAAAGCCCTTAACCTCAGAAAAAAGGCCTCTGGTAACACATGGACTCTTCTGCACCCAGAGTTGAAAAGCATGTGGGGGAGGAGGGTAGAGAGAAGGAAGGAAGAGAAAATACATAATGGTGTGGGCATGGGGTAGGGGGTCCTGAAAGCAGCCATAAGAGAGTGCATGGTGTTAAGTTGGAAGGGCAGACACTAGCAAGAGGGAGGAGGGAGTGTTCTACTCTTAGTTTAGTGTCTTTCTGTTCAGTGTGAATTTTCTAACTAGTACACATGGATTGCATTTATTTATGCATGCCAGTAAAGATAGGCTAGGACAAGAAAATATAAGCCAGGTTTATCTTGTTTTGGAGGGGCAGGTTTATCCTATATGTTTGTATAAAAAGAAGGGGAAAATAAACTCTTAAATAAATAAACAACTATAATTCACCTCCTCTTTCTTCAGTGACCAAAACATGCAAAAATTTTAATCACAGGAAGCTGTGAATAAGTCCCGCAAATGGAAGGAAGCCACAAGGGTTTTAGGAAAGAGGGGCTGCAACAGTGGAGCCTTTAGGGTTGCATTGCACTCTTGGGGTCACTGTGTCTCTGTTTGCACCTTAGTGGCGTTTGCTTCTGTCTGCCATTTAGCCAGCTGTATACAAGTTTTATGCCCTGGGCTCCAACATTTTTCATACTAAAAACGTGTTTAGGGCAGAGACTGTTTTACTATTGAGGGGTTGCTGTCAGAGCTTAAGGCGTGTAAGGTAGAGACTAAATCAACATTTGTTAAATAGGACATGAGTAAGGCAGTCTCAGGCAAAACAGGAGGGCCTGGGACTGACACCACCAGAAGGCTCAGGTAGCAGCCAGCGCCTCCCCGACACGTCTACCTAAACCGTCCCCAGGTCCCCACATCTTCTGCGTGGTAAGGTTCAAACACCTTCGTGTATTTACCAAGACCTTCCCTGCATTGGCCCGCACCTGTTTTCCTGCCCTGGCTCCCAAGACAAATCTGTGCCCAAGCAGTCCAACTGGTCTCCTCGCCACTCCCGAGTGCTCCTCCAGGCACCCTGCCTGCAGGCCCTTGCTCCTTCGTGCCTCTCCCAAACTCTGCCGGATAATCCGGGTCAAGCCAGTTTCTCCCCGTGACTCCCCTGCTGTCTCTCACTGCAGCTTTTCTTGGTAACTGTCCCAGGTCTAGGGTCTGCACAAGCGCAGAGGGAGGACTACCACCAGGGTGTAGTCACATCAGGGATAGAACCAGGGTGGATCAAGCCTGGACTGAGAAAGATCAGCCGATGCCCAGTCCCGCCCACTAGGAGGCGCCTTCAGTCTCATTCTGGTCAAGACGTCTCCAGGTTTTCAAATTTGGTACCAGTCTGACAAGTTTCCTTCCTGCCCCCCCCGTCCCTTTAAGAAGGTAAACCAGGTGAGGCCGAGGCCCCGCCCGGCCGGCCCGGCTCCCCCTCTGCCT